ACAGTTTTTAGGGCGACTGTGATTCATATTTAAGATTTTGGAGACCTCATCATCTGATATTTAAACATAAAACACTTTATAAGCACCTGCAGGCACTGTGAACAAACACAATATTCAGGATAAATACATGAAAGTGGGCTCACAATTCCTTTTTCTTAATAAGTGAGAATATACAGTGATTATAGTATTTTCTTTATTCTGCACTTGTAAACATGCAGCATTATCCTCTCTCACACACACACACAAATATAAATGCTTTGTTGTTATTTCTTTGCTGATTGCAGCTCTGCAAATGCAGCATACAATCCTAAACCACTGTTATGTGTCAAGTTATCCCAGTGAGAGAGAGAGAGAGAGAGAGAGAGGAGCTATATTTGGAAGCAGCACTGCCTTGTTCTGTATGGGTATGTAATAAATCTGTTGTGCCATAATAGTGAATGGTGGGTTGCACAGCGCGTTGTGTGTGTGTGTGTGTGTGTGTGTGTGTGTGTGTGTGTGTGTGTGTGTGTGTGTGTGTGAGGATGAATGGTGGCCTGTCTCGTCCCCACGTACTGCTGCTCCTTGCTAATTGGTCGTCGGCTTAAGTGCTGCTGCTGCAGTATTCTCCAGATAGATGAGATGGAGGGAGAGTCGGAGGGAAGGATGGGGGAGAGGAAGGAGGGAGAGGAAGCAAAGGGAAGGAGGTGGAGAGGGAATAATGCAACAGAGAGAGGGAGGGACAAGAGATTGATGGGTGAGATGGGGCTGGATCGAAGGACGCATGAATAAAAAGGGAAGAAAGGTCTGAGAGAAGGAGACTGAGGACAAGTGGGAAGGAGAGAGAACTGTGATATATGGGTGGAGGAATGTAGGTTGAGGAAAGGAGAACAGGTTAAGACAAGGTCATGTGTTTGAAAACAGTATCTCTCTAGTTTGTAGAATCTGTCCAGTCAATAAATGAATAAATCAAATTAAAATTAATACCTGTACGAATCTATATTCTTCCCTGTGCCTCCAATTAACCCACATCTGTTGGAAATTCTTGTTTTAACCTCATAGTTGTTTACATCCTGTTATGCTGATTTTCATTGTCTATGCTGCTCACTGGATTTTCTATTTTTAGCCCCATGTAGTGTTTTTCTTTTGTTTCTCCATGCAGCGTCTCTCTTGTCAAGTTAACTTTGCTGCTGCAGCAGATAAATTGCCCCTAGGGGACAATTATGGAGTTAATTTATAAAATGTTATATTTACTGTAAAAACACAAATTGCGGGATTTTGTTTTTTATCTTAACTTCATCTTCCAACAGTTCAGAACTTTCTGTACTTAGCACTGCCAAGTTATGAGATAAGTTGTGTGATAAAGAGTCTGTATGTAAGAGCCAGAGGTGCTTTATTTTAGTTTCAAACAATGACCTAATTTAGTAAAGCAACTCACATTTCTTAGCGATTGCTTGAAATATTAGATTTTCTTGTTGCTGGATCAAAGGGGCATCTTGTTTTGGCTCAGTACAACTTTTGCTCCATGGGATTTTGGCAAAATTCTCAACATCACTTTTACTGGGTTACTATGATTGCAAGCATACCTTCCACCAGCCTGCATCAACCAAACCTATGGATAGCTTTTATTTTGAAAAGAGGAAGTTAATAGTGTTAAAATCTGGGCCAAATATGGAACTTCAATTTACACTCATAGATAAATAAAAGACAAGTTATTTAATGTTTCCCATGACATTAAGATAAAATTCCCGAAACGTCAAGTGACCTCTGCCAGGTTTCCATGACAGCTAGGATGTCTGTGTGTATGTGTATGTGTGTGTGTGTGTGTGTGTGTGTGTGTGTGTGTGTGTGTGAGTGTGCGCATGTGGGGAAGGAAAGGGGGAGGAAAGGGGGGCAACTAATGTCTTCCGAGGAGCGAGAGGAGAGAAATGAGACGCTTTGGCCAAGAAACAGCAGTAACTCTCTACTCTGTTCATTAGACTGGCCCTGTTATTCCCAACACACACACACACACACACACACACACACACACACACACACAGACGAGTCCTTGCAGCAGGTGGGCCTTTTGATTTGTCACCCAGGAAGAACTGTGTCTCATTTGCATACAGATGCCCCCTTCAGAGTTTAGGAAGAGTGCGCGCACACACACACACACACACACACACATACACACACACTGCGTCTTCAGTCCTCCCTTCTAGACTGGAGCCCATACAACCCACTCTTTCTTTTTTCTCCTTTCCTTCTTTCACTTGTCTCCCTTCCTCTCCTCTTTCTCTTAAGTTCTTCTCGGCTATGCAGTGATTTAGGCGAACAAACCCCAGGAGATTGGATACCGTGTCTGTGTGTGTGCGTGTGTGTGTTTCTAGGAATATTTGTGTAGATTTATATCCACTTCCTCTTTGGAAGTGGATTTATGTGCACATGTAAGATTTTTTTTTACTGTATATGTTTGCGTTTCTGTCAGTATATTTATCATCGTGTTCGAGTGCCTTTACATACGTTTGTGTGCATGCATGTGTGTGCATCTTGGAGGCTCTTGCACCTTGCATCTGTTCTCTCTGGCAGAGCCTTCATGAGTCTCGTGTGCCGGTGTCAAACAACGGCGGCTTGTTTGCAGACCCCAACACTGAACTGATACACACATTCACACACAGCAAGACAACAAGAATGAGAGCTGAATTTCTAACCAAATAAATACTTGGAGACCATGGTGAAGTTTAAAGTAGAGCTTTGTAGCTCTGCCTGCTTTGCCTGCATTTTCTTTCCTTATTGTAAGGAGAGAGAGAATAGCTTATAAATATGAATTTCACTAACTACACATATGCTGTATTAATGTGAATTTTACGATTGTAAAAAAGTGAACATTTTAATCTGTACAAAGTGAAGCCTAAAAGTTGTGCCTAAGGATTGATAATTACATGTCTTTACTATTTACATGTGTATTTCTTTTTGAACTTCATTTCATCAGGCTTGTCTCCCGAAAGCTAAGACTACAGCACAATTACATTACACAAACCAACACGTTTTGGGGCTTCTTTGTCTCCTTTCTCATAAAAATATTTATCCAGCAGCTGTGTGTACTCCTTAACACATAGAAACCAACATGCATTTCCAACAAGAATTCCAGACTGCAGCTCTAAAACATATTTAAGAGTGGCACACTGTGTGTCCGACAAGTCTCTAGCAGAGCCGGTGAAACCTCATGCTGTGATTGGCTGGGGGGCAACGATTACATCAGAGACTCCGCAGGCGCTACAACAACACTGGGAAGTGGCTGGGAGTTTAACTGGAGGTGGGATTGTTAAATACAACTGCTGACGTCTTGCTTCAGAATGAGCATGTGACTATAATTTTACCTCTGCTAGTTATTTTACTTTTTACAGGGACCCTGGAGGTTACGAATATTATTTCAAAGGGCGAACGTTTGCATTGTAGTAATATATTTGGGTCATTTAATATGTTTCACCACACGGAATCATTCTGCCACCTGCCAGCTTGCCACTGAGTACACACAGCTGACCTGAACGCATATGAAGGCACTTAAATCTGGACACAACATTGTTTTTCCACGAGGTTTGAGGTTATACAAAGGCACAGAAGGAGTCAAACCACAGAAAGACACATGCATGTTATATTTTACATGATATTCCTCTCAGTTCTGGAAATGCAGTTTGTCTGGATGATTTTGTGTCTTTACAAAAAAGTTAATGTGTGGTAAAAAACTTGCAAACCTGCAACCTGTAAAAACTTCAATCAACGTAATTTATTTTACAACAGCATGCAGTCGTGGCAACTAACGCATGAATAATGGTTTTATGGTTGTGTTTAGACAACTCTAAGCACTTGGTTGAGGTTAGGTTGATTGTGGTCTTGGTTAAGTACTGAAAAAGTCAACACTGACTTGAAAAATAAGATGAGATGTGTTGGCTTTTTTACTGTTACAACAAACCACCATCTTTAGGGTTAGGTTAGTGTTAGCGTTACATGAATGTCACAAGGATGCTCTTGATTGCAAAAAATATAGAATGGAAAAAAAATTATGTTTTCTTTCAAACATACTAGCAAAGTATATAAATGTATTTTATAGCCCACAGGGTTGCATTTGCAGCACTTTCATGTATGTTTAGTTAGAAACAAAATGCATGCTGCTATCCATTTCGTGTCTCCCACAGCTCAAACAAACAATCCAAACCTTTGACTCACAGCAGGACAATATGAGCAAGTTGACATCCAAACACACACGCGCACACACACATCACAGCCTCCCCTTCCTCACTGCTCCATTCACATGTCACGTCAGGGCAGAATTAAGAGTTTAGACAAATACAATTTCACCTCTGATCCTGTAATCCTGATCTCTTGTGTTGGTGGGGGGGGTGCAACGTGAGCCTGTCAAGGCCCCTCTATCCTTGAGGATTCACAAACTCTGGGTCACAAATTTAGGGTCACACACAGCCTTTATAAATTCACAAATGTATCCCCACAGCACTGAAAGAGGTTCTAACTTTCACTGTGCACAACAACCAGCAGGATGGCAGCGGTTCTGATCTAAACTCACTGAGATACCACTCAGCAGTAAAACTAAGACAATCTTTTACTATATACACAGTATGCAGTATATATATATGTGTTTTTTTTGTTTATTGTTTTTTTCCTGTCTCTCATCCATCAACATCCGTCCATGGCCCATTCACATCCATACATTTATTGTTCTGCTGATGAAGTAAAACCTCCACCTTATAACACTTCAACACTGTTGCATCTTACATTTCTTGTGCAGGTATTCTGATATTTGATGCCATATTTTGTTAATATGTGTAACTGGCCACATAATGTGACAGAATGTTCAGCATGTTGAGGAAAACTAGTTCTTCCAATTCTGCACTGTTGCATTGAGCAATATTTTGTTTTCGCAGTGTCATTATTTGTTTTTGAGGATGCCAAAAGAAAATTAAAACTTTAGTTTCATCCATCAATCCATCCATCCATCCGAAGCAGCAGTGATATCGGCTTCTTACCGGGGTAGAAGTCTTTGGATTTGGACAGTTTGATGGTGGCTCCGGTCTCTTTCTGCAGCTGGACAATGGTCTGACCTCCCTTCCCGATGATCGAACCGGCTGCATAGCTGGGAATCAAAACCTTCAGGAAGTACTCGCCTTCCTCTGCAGCAGGAAACAAGAAACAGGAAGTCAGAGAGAGCTACTGCATTTTATGTTGTTTTCTACTTCAAATAAAGCTGAAAAAGAAAACTGTTACAAACAGCTACAGTATACATTTTTAGTCTGAACCTTTGCCCTCATGCCTGCCTTTTGTTTTATGACAAATTTAGGACAATATTCAGCAATTTTATAAATTTTGTTAGCAAAATGCAGAAATACAGGGGCTATCTTGTTGGAATGAGTGTAAACTATGGAAGTGGAAACAAAGTGTTTGTCAGTAATCACAGTCTGACAGAACAGATGTGAGCCGGTGCCACATCACTACGCCAAAGCAGAATAATTTGTCTCTCTATCCGTCCTCCTCCCTCTGCTCCCTCTCAACCGACCATGCAAGGCTTCCCGAAGCTGTATAAATCCACCCAATCACATCTAACGATGACTGATATCCATGACAACTAATTATTTCCATAATCAGATGACTCTCTGTCACCGTTATCTCTCCCCTTTCTCTGCACGTCTATTTGAGCGAGCCTCCAAACACTCTCTTCAAATTGGTCTGATCTAATTTCAGCGTCAGGCCCGAGGAATCTGGTCCTCGTCACCGCCTTGGCACGAGGGAAGGATGCTGAGGAATACGTTGCTTGTTGGTTTTGTTATTAATGCTAATCAGATTCAACCAACGAATGTGGATGCATGGCCTTGTAAATGCATAACACCACATGCCTGCCATGGCATACACACACACTCACTCATTAACATGTGCAGATAAGCTCACATAAACAAATACAAAGCAGACAAGCCCAGATTCAGATATTTGTATCATGGTAACGTGGAGCTGCACCTGCATTGAGGAAAATTGTGTAAACTCTGAATATGAGAGGAAAGATGTTGTCTGTTTCATGTGGCCTTGTGTTGATTGTTTTCATCACTGAGCTCAGCTAATTGCCATGATGGAATAAAGATGTCTTTGAGTGTCTTCACAAGCTGAATCTGCAGTCAGATTATTATGGAAATATACATTTGTCCATCCTGATGGTGGAAAATGATGTGGCCTTGCAAAAGAAGTGACCAGACATTCTTCTTTTTTAAAAGTGTCAAAATTTCACCCCCTTTGGCCAAATCAAATTTTAGTGACAAAATAGTTTAGTTTTCTCTTATGTCTTTCTTTTTCACCTCCCTCAGGCTGATAACACAAGTGTCATGCTTTGGTTTGCTTTTGTCTTTACCAAAGGTTTTCAAAGAGGCAGGTCTCCCCAGGGGAGCTCTAACTTGTCCAGGGGAGGCTCAGTGAAAAAACATTAGTTATCAAAAGGAGATCACATATAATGTCCTAAATGTGTGTGATATGTGTGTGTGATAAAGATACAGGTCAGTGATACAGTAGTTTGGTAAATATATTTTTATGCATTTGGTGAAGTCTGAAGTTATGTCAAACTGCAATATTAGGTTATCTTGCCTCAACTGTTGAGTGTCTATGGCATGAAGTAACATAATCATGATCTCTCAGGCATCTAGGACTTGAGCGAAACTAACCAAGTAGACTAAGGGGGGTGAGGGGGCACCTTTTTCCAAGCTTTGTTTGAGGGGCGGCCCACAGTCTTAGACTATGAAAACCCCTGGTCTTAACTGCACAACCTAAGAAATCATCTTGTACAAAATGCAGCCACCTTAGTGTTAACCTAGAGGAGTAAAAAGGAATACATTAGTATTATTTTAATTATTTAAGTATTTGCATTGTCTCTTTTAGAATTTATTTTTAATATGTTATTTGTTTACAAGGCTCTGAATGGTTTAGCATCTTCATATCCCTTTTCTATTTCCCCGAACGCTGCCTCATGTAATCAAGCACTGGACATAAAATGTGCTAATGATTACAAACAAGTATGGAGTAAGCAGTGCTTTATTGTAATGAATCAAAACAGCATGAAACTTTGGTCACTTTCAGACCTGTTCAAACAGACTTACTGCAGTGGCTCCTTACTTGCTTGCAAATTAAAAACAACCTCAATTACAGGTTTTCAACTTTTATTTTGTAGTAATCTTATCTTAAAATACACCTTCAAAATCATTTTGACTTGTAATAGGGAGAATGGCATCTCTGTCACTGCCAAGGCAGGCCAGGAGCACCCGGTATACCATCACTACATAATATACTATGTGGCATTGGAATCCCAGCAGGAAACCTATCGCGAGAATGGTGTAAAGTTTTATGACATCACGTCACACACCAACAAGACTCTTCAGGACACTAGCTATAACAAGAAACTAACTCGGTATTCTCAGAATGGATATAATGGCTGCGAAGAGACCAAAGCAGACATTGTGGGAGGAAGCCAGGAAGAGACAATGAAAGCGTGACCGAGCAAGAGACCAGACAATAGTAAATATCGAACTGGCTTTTAGTTAATGGTGTGAGCTAAATGAGCTGAAAGGCTGCAAGACAGACGCTGAGCTGGCCTACTTTCTGTTGGCCTAGTAAGTAATATTGCTATGTGTGTGTTGTTAGCAAAGTTAATGTAACCATAACAAAGGCACATGTGCATCTGTCTGTATTTAAGACAGCGGGGAGTTACATTCACTCTAGGGGCGCCAAATTGCAAAAAACACCAATCCTTACGTAATGTTTCTTTAATAAGGTTTGACATTTTTGTAATTTGCCAGACTTTCCTCAAAATGGGAAACAAAAAGCTTTAGCATTTTGTGCTTCAGTTTTATGAAAACTATAAACTGAAGCTGAAGCAGAAAAAAAAACCAAAATGACAATGCATATTTTAATCATTTGTGTTCATTCAGAGGACACATTCAGTGGCTTCACTCGGTGACCGAACCAAGACCGAGACTGAACCTGCAACTTTTTGGTTGTAGACTGCCGCATCTTCGACAATAGAGTGGGAGAGAGAGAATTAACCTCACAGGTCACTGTAGCTCTCGTCCTCTCACTGAGAACCACTGACCTGCCCGTCGGTACAGAATCACATACAACAACAGAGACATGAAGGCGCTGTGTCAGAGGTTCATCAGCAGAGATATGTGTGTGTGTGTGTGTGTGTGTGTGTGCGCTCATTTGGGACTAGGTAGAACAAATCTATCTCATTCTGAAACAAATGTGCCTTTGTTTCCATGGCGATGACATAAACAGGCTGTGTGTGTAGAAGCACCACACACTCGGTTTCTCATTTCTTCCTCTGGCCAAATAGCTTTGTTTAACATGAGGGTTTGTTTTTGAAATTGGAAATTGGCAAAATATATAATTATAATAGTCCCAAACACTGCTATATATAAATGCACTAAGATGTAGTATCTTTCTCATTAAAATGCTATTGTGCTGATGTTTATTTTGCTATATTCTTTGCTCATGCTCATGAACTTGTCTTGCATGGTTATATCTCTCTGTCACACCTCAGTAGGCTATACATTGTCTAAACTGCAGATTTTTCAGTGCTTCGAGCAGCAAAACTAAATTCCATTCACCTCCATTGGATCGGTCAGAATTTAAAATCACATATTATACCAACAAAAATAAATTAAAATAAAATGAAAATTTACTATGCTTTGAAAAAATAACGTGTGAGGAATCATAACTCTCAAAGAAATCCATAATGTTTTCCTTCACATCAGCAATAACATATATAAAAAAGTAGATTTTATTTTTTCATATTATTCTATAAAGGCACTCATCTTCTTTGAGGTTGTGAATGTAATAACAACTGCTCTACGCAGTTTGGTTGGTTTTGAAGTGTTAGGTCTCTTTAAACTGCCACTGATCCAATGTGTCTCAGCCTCCATCCCTAGCAGCATTCTCCATATTTGATAATCCAGGACACATAACCTCAGGAGGCAGATTAAAATAGGATTATTATTACAGGGGCACACTTTCTCACAAGGGCGAGGCGCCTTGTAACACTGTCTGCTAACCAAGCGAATAACTGGAGAAACCGAACTGTAAAAAGACACATGCATACAAAATATTAAACTTACCCTGCTTTGATTGTGAGGTGGACAAACCTGGTATGGCTACATAGAAGATTTATGATCCCATATAGTTACACAGAGTATCATTAAATGCCTTATAATGCCTATATTTATAATAGCCCATTAATTCCTTTAACACTTTTGTTGCAACAAAACAACCGTGTAACTAAGGTGTGTGTGACACCTCACTATAAATACATTTAATTAGTAAAATTAACACACCCACAAAGGTGTTTTCAGTTATTCTGGCTAATCAGGCCTCTGCTGAGGAAGCACATTTGGCAAAGAGTTGCTGTGAGTTTGCTAAGGTTTAAAAAATTCTGTACACCTAAAAGAATCATAAAGAAGTTGTCCCACCTGAACAAGTACAACAGAACTATTACAAGTAGATGTTAGTCAATTAAATGGAAGGTGTCTGTACCAGAGTCCTGAGAAGATGTCTGACAACACCTGTATGGGTTGAGCATGCGTGTGTACAGGCTTTAAATATCGATGACACAGTGAAGCCCTGTTGAAACTTATACCCCCACATAGTGCCTCAAAATCCCCAACTTCCCTTCAAGCTCAATGGTGATGTTATGAAATCTCTTAAGCTAATGATTTTAAAGACCCGTACTGACAATGTCGAACCCACACAGGTGTTTTCACTTATTTTGGATGATTAGATTAGACCTCTTCTCAATGTGGGTGTGAACATACTGGACTCAACTGGGGTAATTCCACATTCACATTAAATGGGAAGGATGGTAGAGATCTTGTCCAAGGAAACTTAGTGTCTCTGTTTCCATTTCTACCAAACTTCTGCTGTGTGCTCCAAACTATTTAGGTTTGTAAAGGGGATTGTAATAGTAGTACAGTTTTAAGAGTATTAAATATGGGGTGGGCTCTGTTCTCATCGCTCAGTGTTCAGCCAAGTCAAAGCATGAGCACACAGACAGGAAACCTGACACTACACTGCCCTTCCTCAGCTCTGCTAGTGATGAAATACAAACTGCAGGGAGCTCAGACATGGATGTAGAGGAGAGAAAAAT